GGAAGAGATCTTTGTGTAGCAGTAGAGTATTGTATATGATTGTCTTTACGAAGGAGTGAGTGATGTCTTCCATGATAGATAGAACAAGTTGACTGCGAACCACAATTTGCAGTAAAGTACCTTGTTCCCAAAAAATTTCTACACAATTTCTTTATGTTTACAAATTTCAGTTTTTCCTGAAGCAATGAGCCTTTAAATCCATTACAATTATAAATTTTATGATTTTGAGAACAAAACAAGCATCTTAAATTATTTGGTTTATTTTCAATATTAGAGAGATGTGTGACACGAGCATGACTACTAACATTAGATTTTTGAGTCTGAGTATTAGAGCTATGCAGTTTCTCAAGGATTTCACATCTTTTCTCTAAAAATGTAAAGAGCTGTGCTAATGTAGGTATTTTCTTGGAACCAAGTTCAAACTCAAATGCCTTATGAGAGTTAAAATCTACTTTTTCTAAAATTAAGTCAATTAAGATAAGATCCCAATGCTGAACTGGAATCTGCATATTACTGAGAGACTGCATAGTTTGCTTTATATTAGTCAAAAAGCTTCGAAGTGATTGTGGAGTGCATTTAACTAGGGATGGAATTTTCAATAACCTTTTAATTAAACTACTAACTATACGAGCTTTATTATCATACCGTTCTTTTAAAGTATTTAGAGCAATATGGAAGTTAGTATCAAATAACTTCTAAACTTTTAATTATTTCCAAAGGTTCACCATTAACATGAGTTTTTAAGTATATTAGCCTTTGTAAATCATTTAAAGGGTTTTCAATTACTAAGGTACTGAACAGTTGAATAAAAGAGTTCAAATCTGAAAATTCACATGTGAAAACTTTCATTGTTATCTCTGGCAGTCTTATTGAATATTTAGAGCCATGACTTTTTGAAATATTGAGAGAATCTACATTAGTTACAATTTCATTAATATTTTTAATTTTTCTTTGAATCCCTGCCAGAGCATTAAAATATTTACACTCTACATCATCCCTATCTGAAGATTCAAAATTAGCATCTTCAGAACATTCGATCTAATGTTGAATAGCTTCATACTGTTGAAAATAGGACCTCAGTTGCCTTTCCCTATTTTCAAAGTGCAAAATGTCAAGTTCTGAGTCTTGGTTAATGTTAAATCAATTGAAAATTTTAGTAATACCCGATTTTAATACTTTTCTTTCAGTTTTTAATGTGTCCAAAGCCATTTTTAAAGAGATTGATATACTTCTTATTGATGTGATAGAATATAATATACAAATTTATATATTTATAATATATATAAACTCATATACACACACAAATTACTACTATAATGAATTATATAATATATGAATTACTATTTTAAATCAGTTTTTAAATCCTTTTATGAGTTTAATTTAATATATAAAAGTAAAAATTTCTAGTATCTAACCTTTAAGCCAAACAAAACACAAAAACACACAAACTGTCACCAACTTCACACCTGTGTTGTGAAATCCGACGTTTTCGTGTCGTCGAGAGTGAAGAATGAGAGAGAAATAGCCGCTTACCTTGTGTGTATGAGAGAAATAGTGTAGATACCTTGTAGATAGACTACACTATAAGCAGCTCCCCAACTTTCGCGTGATTGGTTGGTGGGTGGGTCCCAATTTAGAAATTGGCGGGTTTCATGTTTATTAAAATGACAATTGAGGTATTGTGGCACAGTATGTCGGTAAACAATTTATTAGCAATATATTGTGGTATTGGTACAAAGCGGATGATATTCACATTTTAGGATTAAGCTGACTAGTACAGTTTTATTAGATATTAAAATGTTAGTGATGCTTTTTTTTATTAGATACATAGATATTGTTTTAATTTTTTTGTTTAGGTAATTTTTTACTAAGATTTAGAGGTTCCTCTTATTATTTTTATTTCTAGAACATTTATTACTATTATTATTCTCATTAGCTTTCTCTATGTGGAATCGGCTTCTCTAAGTATTTTCCTCTAAACTTTTCTGTTCTCTTCCAGGGACTAAGTACCTCTCCGCTTTTTGTATGAGTATATGGATTTTGAGAAACATGCAATTTCTGTTCATCCCCTTTTTTTTTACTGCCCTACATTCAGTACCATATATCATAGCTGGTCTAAAGGCAGTCCTATACTTTTAGTTTTCTTGGTACATTTTTTATCACACATCAGTCAATTTGCCTCTTTCCTTTACCTTTAATTAAAATATTAGAGATAAAACGGTAATACCGATCCTAAAAGCCGAACATTATCATCTTTTATGAGTTCTTGTCTATCCAAGCCAACTACTCTATCTGGTCTTGAAATTTCATCTTTAAAAGAATATTCTAAATATTTTGTTTGTATCCAACTTAATTTTAATCATTTTTCTTCAAGGACCTGTCTCCGCTACTCTTTTCTACTAATACCCAGGAGGTTAGTTGCTATCTAATCCAGCACAAATGAGAATAAATATGGGCGAAACCCTGATTTTCACTCATTTTGACACAAAATTTGCCAGTTTCACCTGTAATCGTTCCAACACTATAATGGTTGTTCTAACACTATTATAGTTGTTACACACACAGTAGGTTTCTGATATCTTCATCATGTGCTTTCTCAAGTTTAATTATACTATGTAAATTCACTCTAAATTGTTAAATTAGTTTTTAATAAAAATTGCTGTAGGTTGTAGACCTGCCTTGCCTAAATCCAAATTGACATTTATCCATTTTCATTTTTTAGAACCTTACACTGAATTCTGTTAGATTTTACCACAAATGTAGGATAATAAAAAGATTATTGTGAATTGAGTGCTATGAAAAATTGTCATTGTCAACAAAATGAAGCAGAGGTTTACTGGAAATAACTATTGCAAACCAAATAAAACACTAAATAGCTATGTCTAAAATGTCTTTATTCTTTATTAAAAATCTGATCTTTATTAAAAATCCCGATTTAAAAATACAATTCTAATATAAAAGTCTACAAATAGCTTTATAACATCAATACTTAACACAGCTTTAAAATCCAGGCCTAAGCTAAGCATTTATACATATATTTTATGAAATTTTACTATATAATTACTAATAAACATATAACAATGTTAAATTAACTTTCTTGTAAATAAGCCTATAAAACTATAATAAAAATTCAATACAGATACAAAAACACAAAATACATGTGAGATACAAGAATGGTTCAAATTTAATTTTTAATCAGTTTCTTTTTTTATTGGAAGGAAAATATTCCTGCTTTTCCATTTTTCGCTTCTTTATAATATCCTTAGTGGTTTCCTGATATTTTTCCTTCATCTTATGCTTTGCTCCTTGAACAATTCTCATAAATTCGTCATGTACTTGTGTATAAATTTCATCATCTAAGTCATCTAAGCTGTCTATGACATTTTTGAAGTTTTCTTTTTGAAGACATTGTTTGGTGTTTTCCTGGATCACATTTGTCTGTTCTACCTTCCCTCTGACAAACGCATTAATTTCCTCCTGATACTTTGATTTGATAATTGAAGTTTCTGCCAAACACCTTGCAGCATCATCTAAAACAGAGTTAGTTCCCTCGCGCTCCTCATGCATTCTTACCAAGTGCACATGCTTACACAAGGTATTCCTCACCACATATTCATAACACTCACACTGGTAGCGATGAATACAAATTTTACATACTCTACAATACAATGTCTTACATTCATTTTCATATACTTGCTGTATATTTACATTATATAATTTATTAGGATCTCTAAATGACTTTACCCGAAATTGACCATATAATTTCACATTTTTCTTAACCTCCACCTTGTTTTTCATCGTTTCTGCCAATTTGTGTGCTTTTGTTATAATCCTGTCTTGATAATTGTTCGCATTTGGTCTTTGAATGTTAATAATCCTGTTCCACATTTTTATGTCCACTAGTTCGTCTATGGTGTCCAACAACTTTTCGATTGATACTGCTGCATTTCTCCTAAGGTGGTTGGTCTTCAGTAGATTATTGAAAGATTCTATCGCCATGTTTGTATTGATTCCTGCATTTCTTCTGTAGCAATGGGCCCACATTTTGATTCCCTCTTTATTCTGAAAGTAATACCTACAAAAAATATATACTTAAGGATGACTTAAAATGTATGATTTCATATATTTATTTACCCTGCCAGATAATTAAAAAAATCTATCTCATTTGCTTCTTGTAATTTGATTATATATTTGTTACACAACTCCATAAATCGATCTTCATCCGTTTCATTAATAATTCTTTTCATCTCAGTTTTCATCTGTTTCTTCAAAATTGGATCCTGTATCTTCTTCTTCCCTTGAATATTCCAATTTCTCACGACGTGCCAGGTACATAAAAGCCTTTTTGGTTGGTTGCCCATAATCTTCACCCATGCATTATAATATTTTCCATCGTCATCACTCATAAAATGTTCCGCATGAATTGAAGTCTGCTTTCTATTCTTAAGGGCACCTAAAAGTTTTTGAAAATTATTTTTACTTACCAGTCATAAATTGCAACCTCTTGAACTAGTTGGTCCAATCTGTTTGACAGTAAGAACGCAACTGGAAATCCTGCATTCCTGTCATCTTTAATAAGCACCACTGTTAAATCCATTCCCCTCTTGTTTGTGCCGTGTGTACCATCCATACAAATTATGCTGGGGAATTCTCTTAATTTGTCTTCCATTACCGAATTCATGAATCCTTAGGCAAAATCTTCTTTTTTAAGTACATCATGTTCTTCTCCTAATAAAAATAAAACACCAAATTTATAGTTTACTGATAATTTATAGTTTAGAGATAAGAGATAATTAAAGATAAATTAATGGTAAGAGACTGAAATTTTATTGTATATTTAAATAGGTAATCATTCATCCTATTTTTGAGCAGAGTTGAGTTGATATTTAAGAAAGATAACTTAAAATTCCAAAAATTTGACTCTTCTAGTATAGTACTGAGCCCATGATATGTTAGAATATGTGATTTGTGGAAAAGGTAGCATATAGAAGGTCTCTAAGATGAAAACAAAAATAAAGAATACAAAAGAACCTTCAACAACAGACTATAAAATAAAGCAAGGCATGAAAACACAAATGAGGAATCAGGAACCTGTAAAATGCCATAAGGTATGCATCCAAAGAAGTAATAGGCATGCAGAAAAAACAAAGAACTTAATGGTTTGACTAAGAATATAAATTAATAACTGACAGAAAAAGCAGCATGTAAAGGGAGCAGCAGAAATGTGGAAAAAGATAAGTAGAAGCAGAAGTTACTTAAGAAGATAGAAAGAGTAAATTCATCAGGAATGATAATCAATAAGTAGGCAGACAACTAGCTTTTGCAAATGATGTTAACATAATAGTAAAAACAATATAAAATATTATAGAGGAACTTAATCAGATAGAATAAACTGCATGGACAAGTAAACTGAAAACCAATCAAGCAATAAAATACAGGTAGCAGCAAAACAGCAGGTAATCAGTGATTACAACACCTAACTATGGGACAGTATAGCACTGAAATGTAAAATTTTTTATATAGGATAATTAGTTATATGCAATACTAGTGTTAACAAATAATTGGGTAGAAGAATATTCATAGCCAATAAGAGTTACCATGGCTTAATTAAACAACAAAGGTCTGGTAATAATGCACACTTACTAAAAGTAAAGAAAGCCAATAGGCTCATTCTGAAAGACAAATGTTGAGCCACATAATATATAAACCAGTAACAGAAAATTTTATGTGAATAAGAAGATAATACATTTTAACTATAAAGGGAATACCAGGATCTGGATATTATAAGGAACACATAAAGCAAAACATGAAAATTTAAAAAATCAAAAACTGGAAGAGCAAAGTATGAAATAGATCAGAATGGAGAAGTATTCTTAAACATACTAAGAACCAAAAAGGGTTGTCTAGTAAAATAAAAAACTAGTAAATTTGCCCCATAAATCAGCACCTCCATTACAAACTTAGTTTTAATGTAAAAAATCAAAAAAATACAATCTTAAGAGATATATTATTTAAAAAGTATATTGAATGTTTCATAAAAAGGGATTTTGTTGATTCTGCTAAGAGTAAGGTTTGTTACATGAGTCAAGTGACAACAATTCACACAAGTCAAATTTGGAATAGGATTAATTATAATTGTAGTAGGCATAAAAAATGATTGGTCTTTACCTTCCTGCTTAAATAAGAAAGCATAATTCTTGTTGTTAGAATTCCATTTCTGAACCTTTAAAGCTGTTGCTACCATATCATTCTGATCTCGTTTCTTGTATGTATTATACTTCCTGGACAAATTTGAAAGATCTTTACTTGTCAATAGGCTAAGCCTTTCTAGTTCTGGTGTTTCTGATTTTCTTGAATCTTCTAAAATTTTTCTAAATGGCACCCCAGATGTTAACTTCTCTACAATCATTTTTTTTTCTGCTTTTGACAGATGCATGGTCCTTAATTCCTCTTGATGTCCAGCATGTGTTTTCCAATAACTGACTGAAACTTGTCCTTGATCTCTCAGTTTGCAAATCATCCTGGAGGGACACACTCCTTTAATTTTAATTGATCCACCAGATTTCTCTGTCCTAATTTTATAGTTGGACTTATATCCTAAATATAGCTTAGTATAAGTTTTAAATATTACAAGTAACAAAGTATTGCACCTACCTGTGATGTTACTTCTGTTACAGTCATAGTATATTGTCTTCTGTATTATATTTTTATGAACAACTCTATTTATTCTATAACTTGTCTCAAATTTCTGCATGTCTTTCCATGTCTCATATTCTTGTAAACTAGAAAATTCAAAAGTTATTTATTCAATACTCACCTGGTGGTTCTCCTTTAGATGTTTTCGTAAGTTCTCATGGCTTTTGAAATTAGTTTCTTGTTCACATAAGGGACAAATCATGTGATTAATTTTCTTAATCGACATATCTATGTTATGTATTCTTTTGATATGACGATTTCGTAATTTCACATTTTTTAATATTTTGCTGCAAAGATGGCAGGCTCCTGAGTTAATTTCACAACTTGTTGAAGTAGATGGATAGACAGAATCCATAATTGCTTGCTAAAACAAAGTCTTAGGTAATTAAATATGGTGTTATAACGGACAGATTTTTAAAAATAAATGAGAAAAATTTAAATTGAAATATTCTGTGTGCTTGCTTATTGGCAAATTGGTATAAAACCGCCTAATCATAGATGTTTAAGCGCCAAATGTGGCCAAACAACCGCCAAACAGAGATATACATAACCTTAAAAAATTCAAAATCAGATGAAGATGCCGACCAATAGACATCTCTTATGCTGTGACCAATCACGCGAAAGTTAGGGAGCTGTTTATAGTGTAGTCTCCTTGTAGATTGCTCGATGACTCGACAATTAGTGTATACGAAACTTGATGACGTATGCTAACCATGTGCTGCGTTCGATGGTGTTGCGTGCAGAGAGAGAAAGAGCGACAATCCCCTGATGTGGCGTCACCGGCTCTTTGATTTGAATTTTACCGGCTTTTTTGTTAAATTCACCTTCCACAAGAGATCTAGCGATGAAGGACCATAAAGGGAAACGAAGGGGTTATTTCCAACGTTCCCTGAGAGCACCAAACCCTCGTAGTGACCTGTCTTGATTTGTTACAGGATTTAAGCGTTGGTTGCTGATTCGTTTTATTACTCTTGTGGGGGTGAAATTATACACTTGCACCTTTTTATCTTCGCTTTATTTGCTTGCACAATACTTTACATATATACACCTTGCATGCAACACTAAACTAACTTATAATATAACTTGTAATATATCTTGTGTGATACGGGTGAGAGAGAGAGAGAGAGAGAAACGAGGAGAGAGAATAACTTCTTTAGCGACTTCTTGACTTGAGCTACTTAATTCGACTGACTTTATGCTTATATGTAATATGTGACTAGCTCATAGATAAAATTACACCTAAAATTGGTAACAGGGATAGGCAATGTCAAATCACGTTCGGATTTAGCGCCCATATGCCCATTCTCGGGCGTATGGGCGCCCATACGCCCGAGAATGGGCGTATTTATTTCATTCTCGGGATCCCAACCCTCATTCAGCAAACATCCCAAGTATTTGAATTGCCTGACTTGTTCGATTTCTTCTCCAGAGACATATATCTTTGCGTTGGGGTAATCATTTCTACTTATAATCATTGATTTTGTCTTCTTGATATTTATTTTCAAACCCCGAGCTTCACTTGCAAGAGTTAGATCATTTAAAAGGCATTGAAGATCTTCGATGTTATCTGCCACTATGGCTGTATCATCGGCATACCTGATGCTATTAATAAATATGCCGTTAACTTTAATACCCTTATTAGAGTCTTCCACTGCTTCTGCGAAGGCTTTTTCTACGTATAAATTGAACAGCATTGGGGACAGTATACAGCCTTGCCTTACTCCTTTTTTAATGGAGAAATCTCCTGTTTCGTTGGAATTTTGAAGACGTACAGACGTATATGTTTGATAAATGGGTGAATATTGTTAGGAGCCCTAATTATAGAATGCTGCAACAGAAACTATTTATAACAATTTTCGTGTATGCGCTAGTCATTTTAAAGAGAACGATATAATTAATGTTGGACATACCGGTATTACGAGGACAGCTCTTCTGAGTTTGTTACCAGCACCAGGTAAGAACTATTATGCCAATACATGTATGTATGTGACCTTTTACTTATAAAATTATTAATTATAAATTTAACCTAAAATTATATATTATAAAATCAGTCTTACTTGCTTACAATTTGAATTATTTTGTAGGTGGCGGTTCAACAACTATCTTAAAAATCATCACCTTAGAGAGGGTTCGACATAAATTTCTACAGGTGTGCGCCTTTCAAAGTTGGATTAGATTAGCAGACCATGACTACACTATCATATGGAGAAGTCTTTGATCTTGCCTCTTAAGTGCGATGAGGGATCTGTGCTCTCTTGTGATTGAGATTGGTCTTAGAGTACCATATTACCAGGGTTTGTCTCATCTATGTACTTTTAATATTCCATTTTGTAGAACAACCTAAATCTAAATGTATTTAATATGTCTCTCAATAAATATATAAATATTAGTAGAAAAGAGTTACTGGTAACATAGAGTTTGGAAACTTAACTTTGTAAAATACATCATGTTTTTATTGTAACTAGTTAACACGTTGAACGCCGCGCGAATCATATACGATTCACGCTTATTTTACTTACAGGGCCGCGCGAATCACAATTGCTTCGCATGGATTGTTATACTGTGGGCACCGCCGCTCGTAGGTGATTCGTGCTGCAATGATAAGTATATGGAAGTTTGAAGATAGTAGCCCCCTCAACAAATATTTTTGATTAGCACGGCCCTGCAAGTAATAAAACGTACTCGATATTGCCCAACATATGGGTTGTTCATTTATGCCCTTTTACTCCAATATGAACTCTAGATAATATGGTAAATAAAAGGAAATAGACACATTAGTTTTACAAAATACTTTATTTCTTTAACAATTTAAGAACCTGCTCACTAGGAGAATAATATAAATATAATACCGAAAAAGTGTTTGTATAGGAAGAATTATCGCATTCTATATAAAACGCCTATAGAGTACACTTGTGGACATTTGTGAAACAACTTACACAATAGAATTGGTCACATTGAACACATTTCCATCTAGTTTGCGTTGCTTTGAAAGTCGCGTACTTTCTGTTTAACTCTTCGGACAAATTCTTATAGCAAAATACGCAACTAAAGTTTCGTCTATATACAAATGTTACCAGACGGCGTTATAGAGTTTTGAAATTTTTGTCGGATATGACCTATGTGCGGTTTTATCTTGTACAGTCTTGTGAAAATATGTGAATTTTCGTTATCAGTAAAATGCCAATTATTCAGAAGAAGTTCAAATCTGTTTCTTGACATAACTTGTTTTATTTCATTAAAGTATAGCACATTAGAAGACCAATAAGAAGATAGTTTTGGCATTTGAACAAGCCCAATCCAAATTTGTAATCCCAAAAATATTTTTATTTCATCTATATTCGTATCTTTCCACTTTCTTATTCGAGCATTAGGTAAAAGGTTTTTGGGTGGTATATCTATTTGTCCCGTTGACCATCATAGTAAGAAGACTGTCGTCCACAAATAGGTAAAAGAAATCTATTGGTTTTTTCTTTCGCATATTTTCCGCAATATCAGAACTTATTTTTAAATTATTAGCAAGAAGCGGAAATGTTTTCAAATTGTTACCTGTGATTGCACTCCACTGTAAATTGTTAGAACTAGTACCTCGAACAAGTATCTCGTCTGACGAAGAATCGTTGGTGCATTGTCATTTCTTTATAACACCCTCAATGATTTCATCAACATGAGAAGAATGACTTGAACTTGGACCTAACTCGTCAACTTGCCTACTGCTTTCATTTACGAACCGCTGCGCTATTGGTCAACTACTTTTGAAGCCAAACAAATGTCTTTTTTGTACGACGTACTTTTTTTTCTTCCAGGCGAGCAATGTTCAGAAGAAGAGGTATCACTATCACTATTTACATAGCTTTCCGATGAATATCCGAATGTTTCTTTATCTGGCAAAATTTTTTTCATTATTTTTTCAAGTTGAATTTGTTTTTTTTTTTCGTATTCGCCCATTTTAGATGCACAATTTATTGCACTTATTTAGACAACGAGGCGAAATAGACTGAATACTTGTAATATAAAGCTATGATAATCGACTACGACCGACATGTTGATTTCTGTCGGCGTGAATCACGGGTGGGTCGCGCGGCCTCGAAGAGCGATTTGGTACTGGGGGCCGCGTGGTGCATACTTGCTTCGCGGTTCAAAGTACGATTTGGAAAAAAAATCTTGATGTAACATGTTTATGTATGGAATATTCATGACATATAAATATGTTTTGAGTAAAAATATCCTCGGCCCCGAAACTCATTTATATTATATACATTACGGCGTTCAACGTGTTAATACTTTACATATTTTTTTATTTTTGTTATTTTTTCATCTTTATAGTGCTGGATCTTAGAATTTTAGAGCTAACTGGTGGGTTATTAGGTTTAAATATGACTAAAAATATTATCATATCAATGTATATAAAGTTCTTTCTAGAACTAAATCATTTAATTTTTCTGTTTCCAACTTAGCAGAGTTCTTGAGTTCTGTCTTTCTGTGAGTAGAACGCCAGACAGAAAGAGTTCTCACTGACCGCTGGTAGTGTGTGTTATTAGATTAGGATGTAAGTACTACAAAGAACTCAGAATATCTGACGGCTGTCTGTTGCTTATTAGGCTTTAATTTGACATCAGAATTCCAAAAAAATTATTTAATTACTGACAAGTTCTTGTCACAACATTTAGAACACTAAATTATACTACATTTTTCCGTCCCTATTTGTGAACAAAATATTGCAACTATCTTGGTTTATTTTAAGCTCCAGCTGGTTTACAGCTAGATTGAAAATCTGAATTTTCCAATCTATGAACAGGTAAATGTTCTATCACATCTGGTATTGATTTAGTAGTGAAATTCTCTAATGTGTTATTTGGACTTTCATCTTCATCATTATCGTGATTCAATAATATAACAATTCAATAGTAAACTTCGTATATAGTACAGAGCTCCTGGTAAAGCAGTTTTCCATTTAGTGATGTCTAAATATTTGGTTTTCAATGCTAGATTCACCAAAATCCATATAACTCATTGTATCTTTCAACTTAACCATTTCCTTCATGGTTATATGGTGTTGTTCTACTTGAAATATTTCTTTAGAGTGTAGATAATTAATACATGCTTGTGAAGTAAAGCTAGTTCTTCTTGTCAGATTTTATATATGCCAGCATTCTATATAAACAAAATAGTGATTTAATCTGTGATTGATTTGAATTGCTTTTCTACCAGATAATGTCTGCATTTTTTTAATACTTCAATGCATTTGCATGTTTTCATTCTGAATCTGTGAGAGTATGTGTGAAAAAAGCAATTGGTTTTCCCCGTTGATTGCTTCGCTTATGTTATTATAGACTAAATTTATTACAAGCATGTACTTATCTTTGTCTTCTAGGGATTTATCTTTAGATTCATTGCTTTCTAAAAAAATCTTGAATGGTATATACCAATGTTTGAATTCTTTGCGAATTATGAGAATAAAATTGTAGTAAAAGGCCTTTTGCAGAATTAGGCTTCTATTTACATAAAACTTGACATACTAACACAAAACAATTATTTAAATACTGAAAAGTTCTTGCCACAACATTAAGAAAACTAAATTATAGTACACTTGGCTTGTATTATTAATATTTCTTGTAACACATATAACATTTCTTGTAACATTTTTATAAATAAAGATTTTATTCTATATTTTATTCTTTAATGTTTTTAACCACTTTGGCATTTTAATGTTATGTAAAATAAATATAGTCTCAACATAACAAGAAAACCCAAAAAGTATACGAAAAATATTTATTATCGTATGGGATAAGGATTTTTCTTGTTATTTTAGGATTATATCGATTTTCTTTTACTTTAAAATGAATTCACAATCCTAGGTAATATTACTAAACTTTTGAATTTCGCGCCATGTATATATAGTTAGGCTCCCGGTTACTAGGTGATGCGCCAATCATTGTTTTACTCGTCAACACGGGAGTTTCAATGCTAGATGGTAGTGTGCTATGGACTAGCTTGGGCAAAGGGACAAAGGGTGAGCGGGTGTATGGGAGGCGTCAGATACGCTGAGGATGTCTGGTTATTTTTACTAATAAGGGCTAACATGTGATATTCAGGAACAGAGGCGGCGTTAGGTTAAATTGGAACAGTTAAAGAATTAGTTGGTTTTCCAACACCATTCTTTAACATGGCGTCAATGAGGTTCCTTAATTATTATAATCAAATTAGCTGTGAATTAACAAAAAACTGGATAATTTTGGCCCAAATTAACCTAGGCCAAATTTTTTTATTTGAAAATTCGGATGAAAATACTAGCTTTTTGAATGTAAAAAAGGATTTTTTCCAGTGACAATGTTTTTAAAGTTATTCTAAATGTTTATAAACCACATAATTTCAAAAATTTGGCATCAGGATTTTTGACTATAATAAATAATTTTTTAATCTTTTTTTAATACATATTGATAGTAAAATATATATAAGAATTTTGCAAGACAACAAATTGACTTTTCAACTTACAAAAATCGGCATTTTGAAGCTTTGTCAATATTCTAAAAAATTAAATTTTGTAATTTTATGTCAAGTATTTAGCTTTCTAATGGAGTGCAAAAAATCGAAAAAATCGCTTTTTTTGCATTAAATTCATTGCAACAATTGCAGAAAATCCTTATTACCCTGGACTAATATGACTGGACAAGAAAATAATAATTCCGATTGAAATACAAAAAAATGTCTGGCTGATTAACCAAAATTCTACACTGTTTCTACATAATAAATTATTATTATATAAACAAATACTGAAACAATAGTATTATTATAAAAACAGTGTAAATATTTAGAAGGAAAATGTCACAAATCAACAGAACATATTTCTATTCATATAAAAATTTAATCAAATTATAGGTACTTATTGCTTATTCGAATAAAATTTCCTCAATCGTAGTCGACTTTTTCGTCCGGAACATAAACGTCTTCGTGAACTACCCATTTTAAAAACAATTAACACACTGGTTTGTCAAAAGTCGGAGTAAGCCCCAATAATGTTATTCAACATTATTTATGACACTCCCTCGAGAGGTAGCATATATTTCTTACCTACCTGACCCGTCGGCGACAATCCAGAAACTATCGACAAGGACAGCCTGTACTGACCGAGAGAAAGTTTAGCATCTAGCAGAACTTTTAGCATCTAGAGATTTTTTAAAAAGTTTATACCTAATAGCTGCTTTGTGTTACATTTTATGTTAAAAATAAAAACAGATTCGGAAAGATGGTCAAATTCTGTAGTGCCCTATTAAAAAAAAAAATTTTACGTTTATTTTAACCAAAAATATTTGAAAAAAAAAATATTGTTTAAACAATTTTACAACCAAATAGTGCACTAGAACTTTTCATACCTATCTACACCTACCTACACATACCGTTTCATAGACCTTTCATATAAAAAACAATCATCTCAATATCTGCCATAGTTTTTGCGTTATTTGATATAAACTTTTACATTGTAATTTAGCTATGCCCAGAATCGCAAGGAGCGGCCTTGAGTGGTGGATTGAGGAAATTTTTTTGTAGGAAAGCCCTATCTTAATTTCATACGTACAATCACCTCCTGAATTTTCTCGCATGCGTTTAGAAACACCTTGTATATTCGGCCTTAGTATTGTTTTCTTGCACGTCCTTTATCTATTTTTTTTTTTAATTTTTAGAAATTACCCCGTGTATAAATCACATTTATATATGTCGTTGTAAGATCTTCCAGATTCTCTATCAGTTCTTGATCACATTTTTTAGGTAATTGAGCAAAAATGGAATTTCTTGTAATTATTTATAGGAATAGATATTTATAGAATATATCTGTTCTGGTTCATCTAATGAAACTATACATCTAAAAACTTAAATTACAAACAAACAAAAGGTCATAAATTACAAACTTAAATTATATATTAATTGTAGGGCCATATTGGAGAAGCTAGAGCTTTGGCAGTTAGTGCAGATGGTAAATTTGTTGTGTCGTGCGGTGCCGATATGGTGTTGAGGATGTATGAAAAATCTGACCAGGTATTAGTGTTAGAAGACGAACAAGAGGAAGAAAGAGAGCACAATGAAGAGTTGGCAACAGGGGAACAAACAGTCATTCCCGGCCAACCAGGTTTAAATTTACCCTCCAGAAAAACCATAGGAAGTGAAAAGGCAGTAAGATATTTTTTGGTTTTAATAAATGTGTTAAATATTTAAGGTTAATATTTTCTTTTAAACAAAACAAGATAGCTCGCTTCAGTTTAAAAATTTTATTTTAAAAAAATCAACAACAAAAAATTATTTGTGGCACTTATATTATGACCGTCACTAGCATCTGAAGGGAACATGTGTTTATCTCTGAAAACAGGTGTTTCTCTAGATTTAGAAAAAGTGTATGCCTACTTCGGCAAAATATTGATAAGGACGGTTGGCCTCGTGTTTGGACTTCAAATTACACTCCAATTAGCGCAAAATTGTCTGAACGGCAATATTGTAAAAGTCAAAATAAATTGTTCCTTCTAGTGAAAAACACGTTTTTCATTCTGTCAAAGTTTTAATTAATTTATTCGAGTTTATTAATCAAGAAGTTCATAACCAGTGAAAATATACAGTCCAACCTTCTGGTTGGACCGTGGTTTCTTCTAATCTCTTCATGGTTTGGTTCTTCACAGGATTTGGTTATTAACAAGAAAAATATAATTGATAGTTTCAAGTAATCAACCTAAATTTGGCATTCATACATCGGGAAGGCAAGTATTGTTGGTCCATTAAAATATTCAACAGTTCCCTTCGTAACGGAAATCAACATTTAGCTGCCGACTCGTTTGGATCGTCCCATTCCAGTTCCTAACGGTAACACCTACTTTCTTCAGTGCTGCGGTGAATGAAATTTGATGTACCCCTCTAGGAAGGTATCGGTCTGCTACTGTTAGGATAGTTTACAATAAGTCATACGAAGTAATATCCTTTTTAACTTTTTTATCTTATAATTTTCTTTGTTTTCTTCTAAAATTAACAAATTTTAATAATTATTTAGATAAAATAAAAGTTTTAGACGAGCAGAATCTTCCAGTAGCGGAGTTCGAAATACGGCTTTCTAAAATAAATAATTTAATAGAAACGTTTGAAAATATTCAAGATGAAATCGACTGTCGAAGATTCTGTGTCTGAAGATGATATTAGTTCAAGGGTAGAGTTTGAAAATAGTTTTTATTCTGCAGTAGCATTAGCAAAACTACTTATATTAAAATCTGTTATTGATAAATCATCTGAAAGGTCTAATAATTCAAGTCAAAATTGTTCAAATAATGGTAACCATAGCAACATTAAATTACCTACAATAGAGTTGCCTAAATTCTCAGGCCACTTTGAAAACTGGCTAGACTTTCATGACTCGTTTGAGTCTCTAATTATTAATAATAGTAGTTTAAGCCAAATTAAAAAATGTCATTAATTAGAATGTGCCATTTCTGGCAATGCAAAGGTCATCAGCTCGTTGCCACTTTCTTCTACAAATTTTAGTCTTGCATGGCAAGATATGTGAAAGATATGTAAATCAAGATCTTTTAATCTACAACCATATAAAGGTAATATTCAACTTGCCAATAGTGAATAAAGAGACCTCTCAAGCAATTTACGTTCTTTAAAATTTCTTTGTGAGCCTACTGAATACTAGTGCACACTTTTAAACTATATAGTATGCTGTAAGTTGGATCCTATTTCTGAACGTAAGTGGGACTCAGTTAAGCCTCAACACCATACATTTGATCAACTCTTAGTTTTTAAAGAAAAGAGCTGACATATTAGAAAATAGAGCAAAAAAATTAGCAAAATTATTAATAGAAGTGCAAAATCATTTGTTTCAACTTAATATGTATGTCAATTATGTCAAAAGTCTCACAAAATTTCAAATTGTCCAGAGTTTCTTAATTTATCTGTAGAGCAAAGAACCGAAGAGGCAAAAAGTCATAAATTATGTTTGAACTGTTTACATCTGGGGCATATAAATAAAAACTGTAAATACGAAAAATATCGAAAATGTGGTATGAAGCATCATACACTACTTCATATTGATTTTCTAGTTCTTCACATGCTTCAAATGTACCTTCAAATCTACAGCATGATTATTTTTCTCAGAACATTGTGGAGCCTCCAAATGCTTCCATCACTCTTTCTTCTTGTTTTTCTCAAGTATTGCTGTCAACAGTTACTCGTCTTATTAGTGATGCTCGTGGCCATTATCATTCGTGTAAGGCTATTTTAGAGTCTGGATCACAATCTAACTTTATTTCTGATTAACTGTGCAATAAGTTGGGTACAAAAAGGGAACATGTGAATATTGCTGTTTCTAGCATCAGTTAGGTACCTACACGTATAAGTTCTAAATATTCTGTTTCTATTCAAGCAACCCATTCTAATTTCAATCTCTCAATCTCTTGTTTGGTAGTAAAAGAAATATGTAATATGGTCTAGCAGACCCAAATTTCTTTAAACCTTCTAAGATTGATCTCTTAATTGGTTCTGCTGTGTTTTGGGATCTTCTCCTGGTTGGTCAAATTCGTTTAGGGCAAAATATACCAGTTCTTAAAAAAACAAAATTTGGCTGGATCATTTTAGGTCCATCGCCACTTTTTCATACAAATAATTCCTCTCTTAAATCAGCTTATGCAAATTTCATTCAAGAGTATATAGTTTTAGGGCACATGTCAAAATCTTCTTTAATTTCTTCTTCAAGTATATCTTACTTTCTTCCACACCATGCAGTTCTAAAGGAAAATAGTTTGACTACTAAGCTTCGAGTCATATTTGCCGAGTCTTCCACTTCTTCTACTGGATTATCAATAAATGATGTTCAAATGGTTGATCCTAATGTAAAAAGCGACTTATTTTCAATACTTCTTCGCTTCAGGTAGCATTCATTTATAGTTTCTGCAGACATAGTCAAAATGTACCGACAAATTCTCATTGCTTCTGAACATCGAAACCTTCAACAGATCTGATGGTGATTCGATCAATCAGACGATTTATGTAAATATCAGCTAAATACAGTTATATATGGTACCGCAGCTGCTTCATTTATTTCTACTAGATGTCTTCTACAAGATTCAATAGAATCTGCCACAGAGTTTCCTGAAGTATCAAACATAATATCTTCAGATTTCTATGTAGATGATCTAACAGGATCTGATTCTTCTTCGGATATCTCACGATTATGCTTCGAAATTACTACCATTCTTGATCGTAATTGTTTTCGACTTCGTAAATGGGTTTTTAATAATCCTAACAACATCGAGAGTATTAATTCCTCTTCTACTGATTCTAACTTTCTTCGCATTGGAGATAACCAAAAAGTAGGTAGGTATTCTATGGTGTTATGAGTCAGATACCCTTATGTATCATATAAATGAACCTACACCTAATTTGGTAACTAAACGTTCAATCATTTCTTCAATTGCACAAATCTACTATCCTTTGGGTCTTCTTGCACCTTGTGTAATAAAGGTAAAAATATTAATTCAAAAATTGTGGTTGGGGCAGTTGGATTGGGATCAGTCAGTACCAATTAGCATTTATACCGAATGGTCATCATTTAGACGCCAACTTTCTTTTCTAAATGAACTTAAGATAGTCCGGAGTTTCAAATGCAGAGAAGCTATTAGGCTTGAGTTGCACGGATTTTCTGATTCTTCAAAACAAGCTTATGGAGCTTGTATATATGTTCGTAGTGTTAATTCTTCTGGAGTTGTTTGTGCCAATCTTCTTTGTGCAAAAAGCAAAGTTGCACCTCTTAAGAAAATAAGTCTTCCTCGACTAGAACTTTGTGGAGCTCTTATTCTTTCTAGGTTAGCCGTCAAGGTTATTGATTCATTCGATAATGTGCTGCGATAATGTGATAATGGTTCGATATGGCAACATGGCAGCAATTGAAGAAGTCAAAAAAGAATTAAATAAATTAAACAAAAGTATATATATATATATATATATATATATATATATATATATATATATATATATATATAGGATAATAATTGAAAAGAAAGTGCCTCTAGACATAAAAACAAGTGATAAAGTGGTAAAGTACGTGGAAAGTGATGAAAGTACCAAGTTTCTTGACGCAACTACTGAAATACCTGATAATTCTGTAGCTGACCATGCCGAAGCGGTAAGTCATTTAACATTAAAATACGATCTTAAAATCGCAAACATTCAATTAGACGCTTCAAAACGTATTATCAGAGAGCTTGAACGAACGATTAGTAATCAGGATTATATTATAAACTTGCTACAAAACCCAGCAAATTTGGAGGTTAAACATATGCCAAATACAAACAAACAAAGCGGCGTTGCCGGTCTTCCTCCAAATTCCGTCACTAAAAATGATGGAAAGAGAATCAAAGGTATACAAGAGACACGTGAAAATATAACAATTACAAATCAGCAATTCTCAAGCGCTTTAACGCAGGCACAACAAAGTTTGAAAATGAATGATATCAACAGTCTTACTCAAAATGTCAATCAACCTATTCGATCAGATGTAAAAGTTGTGGGTAATAACAGCGATAGTGAGGAGCTAGCATCAAAAGACAAAGTGTGGATTTATGCCGCAAAGTATAAACAATCTTACAGTACAGAAAAATTGGAAACATATCTACAAACAAAGTTCCCCGGACATGAGTTCTCGTGCACCTTGTACGCGAACAAGGTAAATGGATCAAATTCCTTCAGAATCACGGCAGATGCAGAATTGAGGGATATTCTTTTTCAACCACAGACGTGGCCGAAGGGCATAGAGGTGAGTGAATATTTTTTTCGCAGAAAACATTCCGGCGATAAATCTTCTAGATACATCAACCGAAAAAGACAGAAGTGAAAGTGTTGTATCTTATATTAAACCAAAAACTTTAGCAAACTCTGACCAGATTAGTCTAGTTAATATTTTACATGTAAACACACAAAGTTTATTAAACAAAATAGATCAGCTTAATATTTTTTTGAAAAATAAAAGATACAATATATTATGTTTCTCTGAACACTGGCTCAGAGAAAATGAATTAACAACATTAAAGCTTGATGGGTATTTTTTGTCAACTTTTTATTGTAGGATGGTAAGGGAACATGGAGGTGTTGTAATTTTTAGCGATAATAAAATCCCTACACGACCAATTGGCTTAAAT